GACACGATCGATGGTACCTTGAACGTTTACGGAGAACGGGGCAATATTTTCAGCAATGCCGCGTTGCCGCTTATACCAGAAAGTGGTAGCAACTTTGATTTTTCAAATGGAACACCCTGTATTTCATTGCATTTTTAGATTCTCCCTGAAGAGCTGATTTCATCAATGAATCACACTTGGGGTCTAGCTGAAATGATTACAGATATATGGGGTGCTCAAAATCGAGATTTTTCAACTCTAGGATTTTTTTGTGTCTAAACTATTCATTATCGTTCAAAACGGCTTACATGTCCCTATCTCACTTTTCAATTTACTATCTACTAACATTAAACTGAAACAGATACAGGGTGATCAGATTCTGAATCTTGAACTACCCTGATTATATTTTGTATCATTATTTACAATGTGTAACATTATACAGATTACCATGATCGAAAACAATTTAAATTGGCAAAGCCCATGGCGTTTTTTATAATTCGACCCAACTTGCTTTATTTCAAACCTGAATCTAAACCCAAAGAAGAAGCTATTTGAAAAAGTAATGAACAGGATTCAAAAAAACCCCTTCTCAACGAAGATAATAATGTGCAAAAATGTCAGGATGTGTCCATTCAGTGTGGAAAAGCTCTGAATTATTTTCTCTCTAGGTAATAATGCTAACACAGCATAGTTTTGATTGTTGATACAAATGTTTCTCTATGAAGAAAGTTAGAGGGTATCAACCTGTATATCCAGAGGGTAACACTGCGCCTACATCTGAAAATTCATAACTTTTCAATGCCTTGGTATATTGAGTTTCTAGTTGAAATTTTCATTCCATGTCATATTTTGTTCAAGAAATACCGAATACGTGTCACCTCTGACAACTGTTTCATTATTTTTTTACCAACCTGTACATTCTTAATAATCGGGAATCAATATATGGTTTTATAGATAAAGAAAACACTTTTTACCAAATGAATCGCTTGGTCTACATTTTGTATTTATGAAAAACATTAGAGAAGTTTTTGTGCAGATATTATTACGTTCTAATGATAAAAATTTCAATGATCCATTTTATCAAATTTTCGCCTTTGGTATCTGTCAACATACTCTGTTTTATTAAATGTAATAAGACGTTTTAGAATCGAAATTCAAATTTGATGTGAAACTTATTGGAAGAGGGGGAATTTATCTTTGGAGGATTTTATGATTTGTTACTTGATTTCTTTCAAGAAGAGACTGTTCGAATGGTCTGTATGAAATACAAGTAGCATTGAATAACCCAGATATTGCACCAGTTTTAATTGTAGAATAACTAGTTTATATATAGTGCTTTTTTGCTGCTTGTATTTCGATCAAACCATGAGTATTACAATTTTTTGATAAAATATTTCGTTTTATTGATTTGTAATTGGAATATCTGGGTGATAAAATTTATCAAATTGATCAGTGTGTTTTTTTTTCATTTCTTTCCCTAACATTGTACATTCAACGGCTGGACTCTAGCAAAGCAAAGCTTTAAAGTTTGAAATACAATTATAGCCGTAGCGATGTCAGAATAAATCGCAAATTATTTGGTTTTAATGGCTTGTTCATGTTTATAATTATCGTTCATTTTGCTTGGTGAATGCTCTCGTAAAATACCAGTCTGTTCTGAATATATCTCCACAAAATTCTGTCTCTTATTGTTAACTCAATTGTGTTGCCGTACATAAAAACTACTCACCACTCGTCCTGGCGGACTGATAAGAAAATAGGACAAAATCTCATTTCAGGAAAAAAAAATAAAAAACGGTGACTAAAACCATGGCCCATTCGATTCAGTATATTCAGAAACGGCCTACTCGATATCTATTATTTATATTAGACTATTAACTCGAGACGTTTCAGAAAATTCACCTCTAATTGAAATACAGGTTGAAAATTCTCAATTCAAACTTGTTTCATGATATCAATGATTCTCATCAACTGATTTCCAATATTTATTGCCCAAGTATGAGACACAGAGTATTGTTGTTCAATATACTGAGTGTTCCACAACTTATCTGACAAATTTCGAACTCTAGAAAACAATAATGTTAGAAGAATTACGATCGAATTTCACAGGTAAGTTCGTTTGATTGTATAATGAGATTGACGAAAAACCAAACTTTTTGCAAGTAGAAAGTTGAAGTTTCACCACCTCTACCAGAATGGAACAAATAACACGCAACTAATACTAAAAATGTGTCAATTGTCATGTCAATCTCCTGCAAACCGATGGATTCTCTCAAAGCAAATTGAAAGTGCGCATTTCATAACAGTTTTATGGAATTCCATCGACATTTCAGCGGAATTCTGCAACAGTTCGATGGTTTCTTTGATTCATGCACATGACAAATTATTGAAATGGAAAGCATCCTAGATTATGTCGGTGGTTCCAGGCGAGAATTGTGACAGTTGCGCCAAAACGGTACTATAAGCTGATTCTGCTAATTTAGTAATTCACTCTTATCTCAGGGGTTATCTCATCTGGTTCTTCTTAAAGGGAAGTGAAATGAAAAACTTGGTGGTTGAAACGCAAGAACGGCAGTTATTTATTTCCCAAACCGATGGCTATGTGAGCAAGTAGGTACAGAATTCTACAACGAATTAAAGACCCAAGATAATCGCGATAGGCCAGGGCCTACTCTATCTCACCGGGCCGGAGCATCGCTTTCGTGACGTCACACTAGTAGGGACAAAACCGAGGCGCTGGAAATTGCGTTTCTCAATTCATTGATGTACCGACGGGAAAACGGTAACAGTTATCGAAAAATGTCAATACTTAACAAATTTTTACGTGCTCTTTATTTCTAACTCATTGTAGGAAGCTCAATAATTTTTTCATTTGAAACCGATTCCATATTAGCAAAAAATAATATTCCATAGTACAACGTCCTGATTTTCATTAAAATTGAATTTCTTTACAACATCATAAATCGGTAATGGTTCATCCTAATGCATTTATTTTCTTACTTAAAGTTGGGTAGTTCATCAGGGATCAATTTGTCTCGATTGAGTGTGCTTCTAATTTTTAAAGTAAATGAGCTATAACCAACCTTTCAATTACGAACGCACCGATATGACATATGATGTGAAATCTCAACCTACTAGTGTGACGTCAGCATCGAGGTAGAGGGGATAGACTACGGCCCGGTGAGATAGAGTAGTCCCTGGATAGGCACTATTGGGGACATCCGAATTCATGAACAGATATCAATGTAAACCGCGGTAACATAATTTACTTATATATGATCACGCAGTTTTTTCAATAACGTAACCTGTCATTTTAGCAACCAAGTCTACTCACCTAATACCAGGGTAGATGGTCCAAATGTTAGAAACAAACAGTGGCGGCTCGTGACTTTCATGACAGAGGAGGCTGAATGATATGAGATTCATTATTGTGAAAAACAACTCTCTACTCACCCAAATCAATAGCTTTAATGACACTCTGTTTACCAGTTAACCTGAACTTAATACTTGAAGAGATGTGTTCCTGTGATTCGCAGTGTCTATATCCGCGAGCCAAATTTTTCACATCATTATATCCTAATCACCCCCAACATGATGACTTATCGGTTGAAAAAAATACGCAGTACCAACAAAATAGCTTATTCCTTACCTCAGATCCCGTCAGCCAGATATAATTTTTATAATTATCAGAATTGAACGAACGATTTTGTTCGTTACCTGGTTACAATCAGATTTTTTGATTCCGGTGTCGGACGTTTGTTTTTCACAATCAATTTATCTTCATAAGACAAAGCACTGAATGGGTTCACCAAAAAGTATTCCACTAAATTGCAATCGTTTAAAACACTCATTTTTCAGACATTCATAGAGCCCCTCACAATTAACCCAACATAAACAATGCCCGCAATTCGCGACGCGACACGACAAACAACGTGCTATTCAGGCGTATTCGGGCATTTGCATTGCGCGAGTTGGTTGCGTTGCGCATTGTGAAAGGAGTCTAGCCTCCTTAAGATGTTGCCAAGTTGAATATTTTACGCGTGATTTGCAGACTTCAACGTGTGATGCGTGAGCAAGCACTGTTGCCAATTCAAAAATATTTACCTAAAAACAGGAAATAAAATCAAAATCCATGTATTTTGGTGTCCTTTTAATGAGAAAGTATAGATAATATAAGTTCAAGGAAAATCTATGAGGAGGCTCAGCCTCCGTTGCCTCCTCTGAGGAGCCGCCACTGGAAACAAATTACACATCAGAAGCCCCAAATGGCTATCAGAATATAATACATCACATGCACATGCACCGTAGCTTGGAACACATATGAGCACATGCTATATACCTACCAAAACGATCATTGCACGTGTTTTTCCAAGAATTCGCGCAAAAAAGGATCGAAAATATTCCACACACACAGGTTGAATAGTATTTATTGAAAAAGAGATAACTGGTTCCCTCAATTGGTGAAATAAATAACTATGACTTGCCTCTATTCATGTACGGGGTGAGCTGATAGTTCCGTTACAGAGTAAGCGGGCTCGTATTGTTTGAAGGTGATTCGGCCAAACTTCGTCCCGACTTGAGACACTCTGCATCTGTTATGGGTGTTACAGACCCCATACTTTTCAGCTACGAATTCGTAACACCCTGTTCAATAGCAGCTATAGTGAAAAATCGGCAATATTTCATAATTCCCAAGAAATAAGTATTTCAGGATAGAGATTCAAATCTATGACCCAGCATGTAAAATTAAACATTTTTCTCAAGAACAATTTTATTTTTGTAACCGTAATGTGATAAACAAAACTACAATAACTGAACTTGACAAAAAAGTACATAAAACCGGGTAAATAAAAATTTTATTAACAGCTCTGAAAATAAAACTTGAAAATACAGAATGTATGGATATAAAAAGTTTGCTATCCAATTATAAAAAAATAACGATAGAGGCGTTCACTTGAAAAATCTCCCTGGGCTTGTTATCAGGTAACACACACAGGGAAAAAACGGTCTTCCAAAATGTTTTAGTCTATAATTGTCACTTCCTCTTTGATAAAGAATTCTACAACTTCTTCTTCTACATTCTGCGTATCTGCATCTAACTCATCAGTATCAACATCTGAAAAAAAACAGACAATCAATCAAACTTCAATTCAAACAACCTTGTATAATAATTAGTGGTAGTTTCAGGGTCTACTGCCTCTGTGAGATCTTCCGTTCGACTTTATATATTTTCTCAAAGTATTTGAAAATAATAATATATAATTTTTATTCTCAAAGTATTTGAAAATAATAATATATAATTTTTATCGACTCATACCTAACCATTCAAACGCTTAACCTAACTTTTCATTAATGCTGGCACTACATCACCAATTCTGCCACAGTGGCCAACAGGAAACTTTCAACCATACGTTGCCAGTAACTTTCAGTAGAATCGGAACGATAAAATATACAAGGCAGTACTGTTCCGGAATATCGGAACATGCTCATTATCTGATGAACCATTTTTGATCACATATACGTACTCAGTAAAAACAATACGATATATTTTTCTTTTCCATTTGAATTATTTCAAAATATTTGCTATTATGTTGAGTCGATTTTACCGTTGAGAACTTCTTAGACCCGTCAAAATATTCGATATATCTGTTTTAAAAATATTATAATGGAAACCGGAGAACAGAAACTTCTTAACCGATGAATATCAATAATTATTGTTGATGGCTAGAATCAAAATAAATGTATATAGGCAGAACTGAACTGAATAAATTGTTACTATCTGATTTCATAGGAAACTAATTGAATCGTTACCTATACACCATAAATAGTATTGATATAATATATCCTGAAATATCATGGAAACCATCTATACTGAAAGTATCCCAGAATTTTCAAAAGTTTCAGGAAAACACATTTTGAGTGTGACTATTTACGGCACTGTGGCATTCTTCAGAAAAAAAAAAAGATAAAAATCATCAAATAATGTACAGTTTAACGATTTGGTTGAAGCAGAGATGTAACAGAAGCTTATCATTGTCACATAGAACAAAACAAAGAAGATCGGAAAAGCAGAGTTGATTGCATATATTTGGCATGCATCTCTTATGCCGAGCTCGATGCGGGCTGGCCTGTGACGTCAGCCCAATCACTGCACGTTCTCAAATTCGAATAATTATACGATTTTGATTGGAAAGCCACTATCACTATCTTCAATGCATTCTTTCACAGACTTATTGAATGGGAGACTTCGACCTGAGTTACCGACCTAAACACGTCTACCAATGTAGAAGCGACATCATGAACGTTTGCTACCCGGCTCTCTAATATAAGTTTTTCAGAAGAAAATTGTCTTTTTGTGAACTCCCCTTCCGATTACTTTAGAAGCTAAAATATCTCACGATACTGTTATTCTTGAAGGGATAGGATCACTGGATCACATTTGAGGGTAGCTTAATTATATAGCTCATATGTTATACAAGGACAAGAATATGGTTTTTGTGAAGAGTATATCCATATATATTTTTGTATTTCATTTTCGAATGAGAGAGCATCGTCTTCTCTTATGGGAACAAGGGTACGATAAATGAATTAGAAAATTATTTCTTTTAATGTTCTTGAAATAGAATGATAGGGCTGAAGGACCTCGATGGAGGTCGATGACCAGTTGGTATGTACATATTATATCAAGTATATATACATGATAATATACTATTACTATGAATGATAATAAACCGAGAGGAACAGACCTATTCCTTCAGTTGAATAATGTCTGTAGCATTAAAATTCGGAATGGGGTAAAAATAAATAAATTAGAACCAAGAAAACATACCTTTATTTCAGATGAAACATTTTCGACTATAGAGTGGTAGGTAGTTGAATGAATGAATGGTATGGCAACAATTATCAGTATGATACATACATTGATATGAAGAAATAGTATGATGAATAATAAAGATTTTCCAAGACATATGGAACAGGAAACGGACAGGAAATTATAATAATATGGCTGTACAGACTTTAGCGCTCGACCCAACTAAATCGCCGTTCACATTGCTAAAGGGGTTATTGATTCGAATCCGGCCATCGGAAGATCATTTTCAATAACAATAAATGGCGCCCGGGATGATTGTTCCTGTCCTGTCAGCATCTTTTGGCACTCCAGAAGTTATACAAAATCCACTATGAGCTGTATGTAGAATTTCCGCACTTTCTCAACTACACACTTGTTCAGACTTGATATTCCACCTTTGAAGGAAGCGATACACTAACAATCCATCTCTTAGATGTTCCACAAAATTTCCAACTCTTATACAGTTGGAAAAAGCACACACTTAATTTCACAATTTGACAAAACTTTTGAATTGGTGTCATTTACGTCTGGCTGATTGTCAGTGCTTGTCATAGTGTCCCTATTATCAGGCTTTATTCCGAATTCAACTGACAGTACTGAATCTGCTGATTTTTCATTCAGGAATAATGAAATTCACTAAAAGTGACCTAAAAGTTCTATTCGTTTGTGTTGCTGAACTTCCTAAAGTTGATTTTGTTCCCATAGTTGTCTCTGTTTAGGGCATAATGTAAGCAAAGAATGTCATAGAAAAAAATCAAGTTCAGTAGGTGAAGCAAACACAAACGAACAGGCCCATACTTGTGAGCAGACATACTATTCATTCCAAATATTCCAACTCAACATTTTGCTGAAATTTATGACTGTCGTGGCTTCAGTGAACTGTCATCATTTTCAATATTGATTTGGTTTGTTTTACACACTGACAGTCACATTGGTTTCTATTTTTGCCGTCTGGGATATGGAATTTAATATTCAAGTTTTTTGGTTGCTCACAAACTGTGGGAGAAAAAGTTATGTACTTTTTTTTATCAACTTATAGTGATAACATGTTATTATTGAGCCAAATGTGAATCAATCAGAGGTGAAGTTCACAAAAATAATGTTTTTCTTCTGAATTACTTCTAATAGAAAGCAGAGTACACTCCTACATTGATAGACGTTTTCAGGTTGGCAACTAACAGTGCAGTCTCCCATTGGTACTTCCTTGATAGTTTCAGTGGCGGCGAGTTTTTTTTAGTTCAATGGTTGCCAGAGTAGAGGGTGTTATGGAAAACCCCAAAAAAGTAATACCTTTGTAATCTACGAATGAGCAGACTGATTATTCAACTGGTTATTACTCCTTGACTATTGAGTTCAAGACAAGAGTGTATACGGCCCTTCGGCCCTTTAGACTCGAAATTGTTCAAGGAAACGTGAACAATATATTATAAAATTGTTTTCCTTAAAATTGTAATGGATGATACCTATAAACATGGATAACTCTCAAGTTTATATAAAAAAAAGGTATATTGATATGAGGTATATACTTACCTATTCAGTATTTTGAAACATGAAATGAAGGAACTTTCGGATTAGAATAAATTATATATATTGAATCCTCTATTGATAAAATCGACCAATTTTTCGATTTTCTGGTACATTTCTGCATTGACCTGGGGGTGCAATGCCGATATCCAGTACGGCCAAGTACAGTGTGTCCAGTTTTCGATGCTTTTGCATGATATCTCAGTTATCTTTGGAGATAGAACCTTGCGGTTTTCGCGGTCCTGTGCCACTTTTTTGTGAAACTCAAGATGGTTTAATCAGATTTTGCAAGACTGTTTCCGTTTTTGGACTCCCTCTATATTTACGAAGTGTCTCAACAAAAATGTCAAATCAAAATCTTATCGCATAGAGAATAAGACTCAAACTTATGATTTTTTATATGGAACACCCTGTATTTCATAAGCTCATTGAATTCTTTATTTTTTGCCTCCAAAATGATTTATAATGAATGAATATAAAATTTTCAGAATTGCTCAAAATCACTAAAATATTGAATTTTGATAGTTGGCTATGGATTTTTCTTATAAAAAACGTTCCAATTGGAGAAATATTTCTTCACATTTTTTTTATGGAGAGTTCAAAACCAATATCAACACTAATTAATTAACACAACACTAAACTTGGGTACCCGATAGCAACAAATAAATAGTAATAAAAAGTTTATAATGTAGAATTAGCACCTGATTAAATATTTACTAAAACAATTGAATTTCGGAATTATTCAGTAACTTATTCATAGACATGTTCAAATTGATGTCCATTTTTCTTAACATACAGTTGACAAACTTTCTCAATACTTCTTAATACAGTGAGTGGCCCAACATACCTGAGGAACTTTGTGCAACAACAGAGGCAGTTTTTCAGGAAATCAAAGACATCATTCAATGATTAATATGTATTGAGAAAGTTTGTGATGGAAAATGGACATCAATTTGAACAATTCAATGAATGAATTACTGAACAATTTCGAAATTCAATTGTTTTAGTGAATATTCAATCAGGTGTTCATTCTACATTATAAACTTTTTATTACTATATATTTGTGGATCTCAGGTATCTAAGTCTTGTGTTTTGTAAGTTGATTAGTGTTGAAATTGTTATTACCCCCTTCATGGAACAATCAAAGGAAATATTCCTTCAATTGTAAATTTCTTTATAAGAAAATCCCTTGAAAAACCCATAGCCCACTATGAATATTCAATGTTTAAGCGATTTTTGAACATTTTTGAAGATTTTATATTCTTACATCATATAACATTTCGAAGGGAAAAGAATGAGAAATTTAATGAGCTTATAAAATACAGGGTGTTTAATTTAAAAAATCATAAGTTTAAGTTGTATCTTCAATACCATACCCCGAAAAAAAATTTTTAGTGCGCCACTGGATTCTGCATGAAATTCTCTATGGGTTGAGATTTTAATTTGACATTTTCGCTGATAAACTTCGTAGATATAGGGGAGGTCCAAAGAGTATACATTTTCAAAATCGCCCTGTATCTCATAAACGGAAACAGTCCTGCAAAATCTCATTGGGCCATCTTGAGTTTCACAAACAAGTGGCACAGGACCGCGAAAACCGCAAGGTTCTATCTCCAAAGATAACTGAGATATCATGCAAAAGCATCGAAAACTGGACACACTGTACATGGGGGCATGTACTCCTGGATAATTTGACATGATAAATCAATACGGAAAACGCTATTTGACGACGACGTGACTCGATAAAAAAGGATGCACCTTTTTTATCACTGATAAACTGCCTGCTCCTTGATCAAGGAGCAATTTCCGCCTGATGCCACTCCAATTTCTGTCGTGTCAAGTTTGATTGGTCTGAAGAAACCACGAAAATATAAGAAAATCAATTCCGCAAACTACCACTTACACGGAATCATCAATAAAGGTTATCATTTATGTTGTTTATTTGTATATTGTCGTTGATTTATGTTGTCAAAAAACACTCGAACTTTTTTTTAATTGGATAAATTTCCTTACTAACTCAAACATTTTCCATCAGTTATTTCTCTCGAAAAACTGACATTAGACGAAATTGCACGACCTACGGTCTCGCAATTTTTTCATGTTTTCTCGTAAAATTACTGATCGGCAAATGTTTTTCGTTACCAAGAGAAATTTATCCGATGAAAAAAAAGCTCTCGTGTTTTTACTGTTGATAAACTAGACCAAGAACAAATGTATGTCAAACTTACGGTTTCTAAGCGCCAATCGCCTCGGTTTGTTATCCAAATACTCCTTTATCCTCTCCTGCCTGTACTCATTGAACTTCTCCATGAGGGCGGCCCTCTTCTCGATCAGCTCCTTCGAGGCCTTCGACTGCCGCATCCTATCTTTGCTCTCGAATTGCGGATAGTACTTCTTCAGGTTCTTCTTGATCTCCTTCTGCTTCTCCTCGCCGAGCAGCATCGGCGCCCTCGGTCGCCACAGCATCTGCGCGAACTTCTCCATGTTGAAGCGCTTGAGGATTTTGCCTTGGAACGACCAGATCCAGTATCCTGGAAAGGCGTGAATGTGTGTTATATATTTATGCATAAATATTAATGTAATCATTTTTAGGAATTGTTTGTGAACAGTCTGTTTCTATCAAAACTATCTACTATAATGCATTTGAAAATTTGTGGAGTAATAATTTAACACAATGAAAATGTATTCGTGATTTTGAGTTATTTTTACCTCGCATATTTTGCTGTATTAACTCTTTATGTTCGAAGTTTATTTTCATTTGATGGAACGCTGACAAATTTAGATTTACCATCCAAACGATTGATACACTCTAACGTAGCACAGTTTGCCATTCTTCCAAAACAGAATTGAAAAATATTATAATCAAGTACGAATTAAAATTTGATAAGATTTCTCGTAAGGGCGTCGCCAGTGGGGCAGGGTGGGGTAGCTGCCCCCCCTAGAGGTTAACGCTCACCAGTCACCCCACTAATTGAAAAGGACTATTTCATTCATCACATAATCTGACCTCTGACCAATCACCAGCCAGAGACAACGTGAGCTTGTCGCGAAAAAACATTAGTTGTCTTTCAATTCTGATTGATCTTTCAGCGTTTATGTATTCAACGGTGTAACCATGAATAGGAAGAAAAGTCTGTCACTTTGGCATGAAATAATTATGGCTGTACTTGTCAGAACGAATAATTCATTTCTAATGAATGCTGTTTATGCTTCGTGAACGTGAAATGGTCTAACAAAATAACACTCTGCTCTGATTATCATCTCATAATTCTGTCTTTCTTTGTTAACTCAATTGGGATCCCGTACAGAAATACTACTTGTCCTGACGAACTCGTGATGTTGCGCGGCAACACAATTTCGTGAACAATGAAGGGACAGAATTATCTCGAATATTCAGAAAATCGTGATATTACGTATAATAACGCTCACTTTAAGCCAAGAACTTCTGAAAGCAGATTCTTTTCCTGAAGTTAAGAAGGCTCTGAAGATCCTTGTTGCTTTACCTTGTAAGACTTGTACAGTTGAAAGGTCATTTAGTAGCCTTCGGAAAATCAAAACCTGGTTGAGTACAATGTCTGAAGCTCGACCCAATGGCCTCGCAATGATTAGTGTACATAGACAAAATATTTTCAAAAACTTGAACGATTTCGTCAACAAAGTGACCAACGAAATCGCAAAGAATCCTAGAAGATAAGTTTTCAATTGAAGAAACAACATTATAATTCGATGAATGAAACGAAACGATGGGATATTGTACGGTTTGCCACTTTACGATATCATAATGTACTATGTATATGATTTAAAAATGATTATCTGACCTTCAAATTTTGTTTTTAGTTGCTCTTTCATAATTTTCCCTGCTATAAACATATATGTTTATCAGGAATAGTAAAGTTTATTATTATCATTATTATTATTTCTTCGTTTTTTAATTTTTTTCATTACACTTTTTTTATTTGAATTTCCTCTTTAGTTTTTTTTATGGTGCCCTCCCCACCCCTTTAGCTTTTTGGCTGGCGGCGCCCTTGGACGCCAGTACACAATACTAAAGTCACTAGAACATTAAAGACGAAAGGAGCTATGATATGACAAATACGTCAATTGGCATTAAGATAGATAAGATAAGATAAATATATACTTTATTGTCAAAGAGAAATAATTTCTTATTGACAAAGCTTGTACAAAATATAGTCTGTAAAACTTTAAAAAAATATATGAAAAAATTTAAAATCAAAACACAAATACACAGGATCAAACAATTTGAAACAAGTTCACACTCTTGTATAAAATGAACTAAGTTTCATTGTACCAGTATCTCACCTGACGAAGCTACTGTGTTAGCGAAACATGTCGTGTGTTTGGGAATTTTGTGGAAATCTTATCGTTTGTGAAGTTTTTACATTTGTCATGGAGTTCCATCAAGTAACGGCCGAGACAATTAAAAAAAAAAGTTTTATAATCTTTTACAAAATAAAAAACCACAATTTCAACGAGAAACAATATTTGAACATAAGTTCACAAGTCATTAAATAATCAGGAAGATATTTTATAGTTCAAAATCAGACTCCACATATGGGTGTAAATAGAAGACAATATGAAACTTCCAATCACAACAGAGTTTCATTGTAATATTCTTCAAGGTTGTAGTACGCTTTTGTTGCAAAGGCTTCTTTCACAAGATTTCTAAACTATTTATAGCTTTTCTCCTTCCTGATTTCATATGGTATGTGGTTAAACAGTTTTTAACTTTCATGTATTAAAAAATATTTTGTCTGGCTTGTTTTTGGAACAGGAAGAGGTATTTTATTTTCTGTTGCTTGACGTGTTACGTGATTTGTATGTCTGGGAGTTTCATCCATATTATGTTTTTTTATATCAGGCAAGCAGTTTCCAGAATGAAAATACAAGTGATAGTTAGAATTTTTTCTCTAATGAATGAAGGTCTACATGGATCCCGCACTTCCACCTTGCATAAGTATCTTATCGCTCGCTTTTGCAAAACAAACACTAGATGAAAAAGTTGTTGACTGCAAAATCCCCAAAAAGCAACACCATATCTCAAGTGAGACTCAATCAGATAATAATATACCATTTTGGTTGTGGATGAACTCAATTTATTTGAAACAATTCGGAGTGCATAACATCCTGATGCCAATTTTTTTGTTAAAGCTGAAATATGCTGGTCAAATTTTAATCTATTATCAATAAAGATTCCTAGGAATTTGGATTGGTTTTTATTCTCAATAAAATGCCCATTCAAGTACAAATTGTCGATATCAGAGTTGAAGGTGAGTAAGTTTGTATTTTTGATGTTGAAGATCAAGTAGTTTGCATCACACCATTTTTTAACAACATCCAAGTCCCCAGATATAGTATATTTCATAGGAGCAGTATCTTTTCCATGCCAAAGGAGCGTTGTATCATCCGCAAAGATCGTAAAAATTCCTTCAATTGAAAGAGTATCCAGGTCATTTAGATATATAAGGAAAAGAATCGAGCCCAGAACTGATCCATGTGGAATACCTCATAAGATTTCCCTAGTGTGTGATAGTTTTTCATTTGATTTCACTACTTGTTTACTATCACTTATGTGACCAGTCATTACACACTCCTCTAAAGCCATAGCAGTCCATCTTTTGCAAAAGAAGTTCATGATTTACACAATCAAAAGCTTTAGAGAAGACGCAGAATACTGCAGCTGCGACTTCCCCATTGTTGAGATGTCCAGAAAGAAACCGTACCTACAAGCTTCGACAGCTTCCAAAAACTTCGCCAGCAAAAACACGCTCCTCACCTGTATCGACCTTGGTCTTCCAGAAGGACACCCCCGTCGACACGTACCGCCCCGTCGGGTCCCACTCCACGTCGGACATCTGGAAGTGATCGGTGGTGTTCATGACGAGGAAGTCGTGCGTGTCGACGAACTCCAGCGAGCCGCCGCCGTTGGAGCCGAGGCCGGCCAACACGACGAACTGCCCACCCGGCGACCAGAACAGGTGGTTGCACGCGCGCTTCTCCAATTTCTTGAGCAAAATGGGCGCCTGGCCGACCCGCACCTAACAAATCAGAAGAATTGTATTTTTACTGGGCTAGGAGAGTTATATGGTATAGTTTATGCGAAGTCAGTTGAAAAACTTCCGTTTTTGAGGACTATACGAGGATTTGTCGATTTGCTCAACATTGGAGTAGGAATAAATGAGATATTTTCTACTGAGCTTTCCCGGTATGCAGTCTGTGCCGTCAACGTGGACTGGACAAGCGTTGTCATGCTAGAAACCGCGTCTCATTGGTTACTGCAAACTATACTGAATGTTGATTGGTCAGAGTTGCATGGGCGGCCTTCTGTGTGATAAGAATCTTACAGCCTGCGCTAAGGCAGTGCGGTACGGTAATAAGACGGAGCTAGGTAGTCTTCATTGGTTCAACTCGAAATTCAGAAAATTTATTATTTCAATCGTAGTGGTTTTGTGTTTCGATTCGCAATTAAAATATGGCGTTCTGGAGGAATTTTGAGGAAGTCAACGAAGTGAGTGATAGTGATTCGGAGGAAGAGCAAGCGGAGTTCGCCAATGAAGACTTACACGATCAAAGGCAAAGGGTAATTTCGAATATCTATTCGCGTCTCAAGGACGAGAATAATGATTCTTCAGAAAACCAACTTGTGAAGAGAATACAGGAATTAACTAATAGAGAATAATGATTTTTCAGAAAACCAACGCGTGAAGAGAATACAGGAATTAACTAACATAAGCTATACCAACATATACAGAGTTATTAGAACCGGAGATATTGTGGATCATGAAGTTGAACGAAAAGGAGTGGGACAAAAACTCAAGAAGCTTGATGCTGCTTCGAAAGAAGTAATTCGTCGAATTGTATATAGATTTTGATAATGAGAATAAGGTGCCAACATTGCCAGATATCAGGAATAAGTTGAATGAATACGCGGATTATAATTATTAAGAATCGTTAAGTACAGGGTGATTCACCATAAATGTCCCCCCTCTAGCGCACTTATTTTTGAACCGATTTAAAAACTTGAAAAATAATCTAAAATGATTTTTCAGTTTTTTTTCCCATTGCATCAGAAAATACAGGGTGCTCGGAACAAATGATCTACAGTGTTACTTGATTTTATCAAATGGAACACCCTGTATTTCATTGTATTTTTAGATTCTTCCATCAATGTATCACACTTGGGGTCTAGCGGGAATGATTACAGAGATATAGGGTGTTCAAAATCGAGATTTTTCAACTTTAGGATTTTTTTGTCTCGAAACTATTCATTATTGGTCAAAACGGCTCCTATGTTTCCATCTTAACTTTTGATTTACTGTCTACTGACATTTAATTGGATCATTTACAGGGTGGTTCAAGATTCAGAATTCTGATCACCCTGTATCTGTTCCAATAATTAAATGTCAGTAAATAGTAAATCAAAAGTTAAGACATGGACATGAAAACCGTCTTGACCGATGATGAATAGTTTCGTCTCAAAAAAATCCTAAAATTGAAAAATCTCGATTTTGAACACACTATATCTCTGTAATCATTCCCGCTAGACCCCAAGTGTGATACATTGACCAAATCAGCTCTTCAGGGAGAATCTGAAAATACAATGAAGAATAGGATGTTCCATATAAAAAAATTCAAATAGTACCCTGTAGATCGTTTGTTCGAGCACCCTGTATTTTCTGATGTAGCGGAAAAAAACTTTATCGAAAATCATTCAAGATGATATTTCAAATTTTGAAATCGGTTCAAGCATAACTGAGCTAGAGGAGGGGGACATTTATGGTGAATCACCCTGTACGTTACGAAATGTTTTACTAGATTGCGGGTTCAGCCATGAAAAATTAGACAAAAGGATGGTGATTATGGAATCAAGACGCATTGTAGACCATCGGCAAGAATATCTACGACAAATAATGGAATGCCGTGAAGCGAATAGGCCTATAATTTATCTAGATGAAACGTGATTCGACACGCATGACGTTGTTCAATACGGTTGGGTAGATGATAGCAAAAACTGTAATTTGAGTGGTCCGAGTTCGCGAGGCAAAAGAATTATAATCCCTCACGCCGGCAATGAAAATGGATTTGTTGAAAATGCATTGTCTGCCAAAAATATCAAGCAATCCTCTGCCGATTATCACGAGGATATGACGGCAGGATTATTTGAGAAATGGGCAGAGCAGCAGCTTATAGCAAATATTTCCGAGAATTCAGTCATCGTTATGGATAATGCGTCATACCATTCACGTCAACGCACGAAAATACGAAGCACCAACACGAAAAAGACTGATATTGAATTTTTGGAGAAAAATGGGCATGAAAATATCTCCTAAAAAACTGAAGAACTAATGACTGGAAATGATCAGGAAACAAAATTTTCCGAAGAAATATGTATACAGTGAGGACGTAAAAAGTCCTCCCCCCCCCTTAACTTTTGAACGGAACAAGCTATCGAGGTCGGGTAAAATTCAGGTAAAAAGGTACTACTTTTACTACTTTTTGGCATAAAAATGATTGTGGTCACGTGGCCTAGTGTCAAGAGGGTACCATCAACTTTTTTTTTTCAAATGTAAAAGGGGGTCACGTGGCACCTGGTTTTGAAGGCCTTCCGATTCTCTATCCAACACCGCTGTGTTTGTGAAAATCGACCAAGCCGTTTCGAAGTGACAAGCTATTGAAATTTGCTTCAAAAATTTCAAAAAGAAATTATTTCAACTATTAATTGCAGCAGAATTTCAACTCCGTCACTGATTATGGTCGAAGAGTCAATTTTTTGTGGTAAGACAGGTGCGCATATTATTGGTATTTTAAAATATGGTTTTTGTTCCAGTTTTTTTTACCTTATTTATTTTGCTGGAGACTCCAAATATCATTTCATTTCAATGACAGTCTAATATTGACGTTAATCATATCGATACTTTTGACAGTTCTCATAGGTTTAAGCTTGTTTTTATAATTTTCAAATGCCTCGTCCTCGTCCTTTAGAAGAAAAAACCGAAGCTATTTTAATTTACGCTGAAGTTAGGCGAAATTACCATGAAGCAGAAAGAATATTTAATGAGCGCTTCCCAAATAATCCAATATCTCGTACATACTTAAGAGAATTGGTCAGTAAATTTCAAAGGACTGGTTGCGTAACGAGGGAAAAAGGATCTGGAAGAAAATCTATTTCAGAAGAACATCAAATCGACGTTCTGGCAGCTGTTGTTAATAATCCGCAACAAACAACAAAAACGGTAGCCATGGATTGTGGCGTATCTACGACCACTGTGAAAAAATATCTCAAAAAACACAAATTTCACCCATATAAATTGAAAATTCTGCATCAATTAACAGAAGACGACCCAGATAGAAGACTGCAGTTTTGTGAGGTCATGTCTGACCGCAATCCTGGTTACATTAACTCTATTTGTTTTAGTGATGAAAGTACTTTTTTTCTAAATGGAACGGTAAATAGACAGAATGTGCGTTATTGGTCAGACGTAAATCCGCACGTTTTTCGAGAGGGTCATACTCAAACTCCAGAGAAGATCAACGTATGGGCTGGTATTTTGGGTGACCATATCATAGGTCCAATATTTATGGCAGAAAATTTAACTGGGCATCTGTATTTAAATATGCTTCAAAATCAGATCCATCACAGTATTCAAGAAGTAGTTCGGGCAAACCCAAATGAGTTTACCATGGATATTACCTTTCAACAAGATGGTGCACCCCCTCACTACTACAGACCTGTCCGAGAATGGCTTAACGAGCATTTTCCAGGACGGTGGATAGGCCGACGTGGCCCCATTGAATGGCCAGCTAGGTCACCTGATATGACACCTATGGACTTTTTTCTGTGGGGGTACATAAAATCTAAGGTGTACGTCACGCAGCCACAGTCACTCCAGGAACTTATGGACCGAATAACAGATGTGTGTTACAGTATTACCCCGGAAACATTTAATAGAGTTCGGAATGAATTCCAAAGCCGACTTTTTTTCTGTCAAGAAGTGAACGGTGAACATTTCGAGCACTTGTTAAAATAGTTGAAATTGTTGATTAAAATTTTGTTGCAATTAAAAGTTATTTAGGTTTTCAATTTATTTGTAAAATTTTTGAAGCAAATTTCAAACACTTGTCAGTTTGAAACGGCTTGGTCGATTTTCACAAACACAGCGGTGTTGGATAGAGAATCGGAAGGCCTTCAAAACCAGGTGCCACGTGACCCCCTTTTACATTTGAAAAAAAAAAGTTGATGGTACCCTCTTGACACTAGGCCACGTGACCACAATCATTTTTATGCCAAAAAGTAGTAAAAGTAGTACCTTTTTACCTGAATTTCACCCGACCTCGATAGCTTCTTCCGTTCAAAAGATAAGGGGGGGGGGAGGACTTTTTACGTCCTCACTATATATGTAGTTGATGAACTCTTTGTAGTTTTAATATTAGTTATAGCTTATGATACACATGCTTTGTCAACAAAAACTTTAGGTTTTTAGTACAATAAAGACTTTCTATGGCTTTCTATGGTCTACATGGCCTTACTGTCTTACGTTTGACCTCATATTACTGTGTTTTTAACCCCATTGAGATGGTCTGGGCTGCTATTAAAAGCAAAGTACGTAAAAATAACCAATCGCCGAAATTTAGCGAGTCAATTTTAACCATCATCAGGACAGTAGTTAATGAGATAAACGAGAGTGACATATGGAGGAAAGTTGAATGTTTTATTTTGATTTTATTTTGTTGAGAATTTTCAAGTTCAATGTTATATTCATATTTTATTTCGATGACACTTTTATTTACTTTTGGGTGTATGATAAATTGACATTCATCATACAGGGCGTGGAAAGAAATTCTGAATTGAGACTCTATCACGAATCTGTGATTAGAGGTCTATAAAAATCACAAGTTTTCATCGTTCAATGTTCGTCGTGGCATATAGCCAGGAAAGTAGTTGTTTTCTATTGAATAAACTGAAAAAGAGTAGATATTCTCATCACATAGAGAATGTGAATTCTCAATGTATTGCTTCATTTAAATATATATCCTTTTTTGTATGTTAATAATTTATCTGAGAATATTCCTTTTCAACACTTTTAATTTAGTTTGATTTCAAATGTGGGACGATAGGTCTATTCGCGAACACCCACTAAAAACAAGTAACCAGCCATGGTATTAGTACCTCATGTACACGTCCTGTATGATGACTATCACTTTGTCATACATCCAAAAACTTCAGAAAACTGTTGCGTTTTTTTCGCCACTCGCCTCTCCGTCTAATACATACCAAGCAAAATAATAGGGTGGTAAAAATCATCCACAAATCATCGCTCACGTACCTCGTAAAAGCTGACGTTGATGTTGGGCGACTCGCCATGAATCATGGCGAACTTGGACCCGACAGGCTCCCAGGCGAAAGCCTGTATGGGCTCCTTGCACTCGACGCTGTCGACGGGTATCTGCTTCTCGCGCATGTGGAACACCTCGAAGTTGCAGTACATGCCGGAGTACTTGGTCTCGTTCTTCTCCTTGCGCACTTTCGAATACCTGCGAGGAATGATACATACAGGGTGTTTCTGTAAACCTAACCCCCTTGCTAGGGTAGGTAGAACATTGCAAAATAAGTTGGGTTTACTTAGTAGTAGTTGTATATATTCTGTTCAAAAATTTACAAGAAATCTTACATCGTCAAAAAAAAAGAACATTTTGCAATAGTATAAAACACATCACAAAATATTGTAAAAAGATAAAAGTATATAACAAATAGAGAATACAGAACTAGTGTCAGATTTTAAAATTTCTAATGAAATCAATAATATCTTGAATATTTTGAAAAGCATTCTTCAGCAAAAACGATTTTATTACAGATCTGAAACGAGGCATACTCAAGTCTTTTTTAATATCTTCGTTCAAGTTATTGTAGGTCAATAAACCATAGTAAGAGGTTCCAGTCTTTGATCTGTTCAGGAGTAATAAATTTGGATAAATGTGATTTCTATATCTAGTATTGTAATCATGATTTTTTTTATGCAACGTAGATCTATCAGGGTTATTTTTCACAAATGTTAGACATTCCAAAATATAGGCACAAGGTAAAGTGAGTATTTTTTGCTGTATGAATATATTCCTAACATCTTCACGATAGCCCACTCCTCCCATGATTTTAACAGCTCTTTTTTGGAGCTGATAGATTCTATGCCAGATTGTCGCCAAGCGAGTATTCCGTATATCATTCTCGAGTGAAATAGCGCAAAATATGCTATTAGTAGGATATGTTTAGACGTTTTAAATGTAAGTTGTCTCAGAGCATATTTAGTTATGGTTAATGATGTTGCTAGGTTATTCCCCTGGACATCCCATAGTTGTTTTGAATCTATGTATATTCCCAGCAACTTCAGAAAATTCGGCTTATCAGATTGGTGGATCAGATCTTTTGTTCATGATATTGTATCAGAATATTAGTGAAAAAATGTCGTAACGGCATCCGTTTTCGAGATAGGTACAAGGTGTTGAAAAAAAATATTTTTTCAACACATTTTTATGATTATGTCGAAACCACTGGCAACATTGTGATGAAATTTTGTATGACTTAAGACATGCGTTCATAGTAAGTTTTTAAACAGGCAACGAAGTAAAGACATAACTTCATGGTTTTATGTTTTTTCAAAGGGACTGAATTTGTTGGTGTGAAAAGATTTGTGATTTCGAATTAATAAACAATGGTTATTTATTGTTGTTGCCTTTGGATGCAAAAGAAACAAGACAAACGGAAATTATCTTTCATGGGTAAGTCGCAAATTGTTCAGATTTTTAGAAAAACAATAGTGATTTATTTTTAGGATGTGTCTGTGGATGTTCATAACTTGAATTCTAAGGATGATGTATTTCATATGGACATTGATTTTCCTACAATAAACAATAAACTACAAGGTGTGCTTTAAGAAAAAGTACCTATATAACTTTGATACGCCACGCATTTTTGAGTAACCCTGTATAACGCAAAATATTTCAGAAATTTACTGCTCATGAGACTAGACCATCTCAAGAATTTTTGTTCATCTGTTTCAAGCAGCAAAGCCATCATGTCACTTTGCCACACTATTGGTTCACCCTGTATGTCTCGAAGTCACGATTTTTTTTCATTTTCAAAAATTGTTCATGACTTTTGGTTACGTCGAAATTGTCAGTCTTTTGAATAGGAGCTGCTTGAGGGTTCACTTATCGTCCCTTCTCAATATCTGACGCGCTGGAATACATTTTTTTCTACCTATTCTCTAGCCTTTCGTACGGTCACCCCCACCATGCAAACCGGCAGATTAATATTTTTCGGTTATCAGAAACACGTGAGGCGCAGACACTATTAATATCTGATGCACTTGAGTATTTCTATGTGACTGTTTTATTTTACATTTTTGAACACCTGTACACACTCTTCCCAGCAGTGAAATGTCATAATATATCATATAAACTTCATTTCATTTTCGCATCTAATCTTTACAATCTGATACGTCCCCACGACGCGCGACTGAATCTCTATTTAGCCTTTTTGCCTCCCCTACTATAGACCCAGTATATCACCTCAGATCATGAACGGTGTTTACCCAGGAATTTATTGGTGGGACAAGGAGAGACAATCAACATCACATCTGTCCACTCAACTGAACTTATGAAGAGATTAGAAAAGGTTAGAAAACAAAATCATCTCCACAAAGTTCGATAATCGGAAGATTATCAGGCAATATGTTTCGGACAGTCATCAGCCTATAATCCTTACGAACCAAAGGTCGTGGAGATGAGAAAACATCTTGAACAATGATCAATTTAAATAAGCGTACGCCATTTGACGGGATTTTTTTAAAGCTTAGTTTTGTTGTTGTTATTTTATTGGGCACATCAATCAAAATAAACCGCTCAAAATTGTTCAGATTGTTCTAGGTGGTGGTGACGTGTATCTATCGCCGATAGAAATTGTGACGTCAGTACTGCAGGTACTCTTCCGTCGTGTTCAGACAAAAAAATTCTCTGGAAATCTATTCTATCACAATTAAATACAGATGTGGAGATGAGGGTTATGGCATTTTATAAAAAAGTGAGTATGCTCACATATTTTCTGATAATGAGGCGACACACTATGTCCGATACATGTTTTTATGGCTTATAGCACACGAAAGGGTATCCTTATAATGTTGAAAGCGAGATTGAAAGGGAGAGATACATCGTAACATTTGTGGATATTTCATAATAATTCAGGCAAATCAATGATAGGTTCTTAATTAATTAGACACAGAAATAGCAATTCTAGATAAGCAATAATGCTTATCAACTGTTTACTTTGAAATGAAGTAGAGAAATAATATGCAGAGCACTTATCATTTCATTCATTCAATAGGATTCATTTCATTTCATCTTATTTTTTCTTCTGTGCAAATGACCACTACAAACCTCATTACTATCAAGCAAATGTCTTTGAAATTGATTAATAATTTTTGACAGTTCATGGCAAAAATACCACCATTTTATGTATATCTCATGATTCTGAATTTTACTAACCTGTCTACTTTTACACAGAGGTAATCACCACTTTTCTGCCAATGAATTTTACAGTCGGCGACGTTGAACAAGTTCTTCTTTCTAATTTCATTTCTATTAGGCAATTCCAACAAAGTTACGCTAGCAGGCACATCCTTGAAGAAATAATAAGTTATTTAGAGTACATAAAATGAATGCATAACAATAATGATTTTTTAGCAAAATCATAACATACAAACATTTGAATTGATAAAGTCACAAACACATCTTTTATATCAAATAGCAGAGTGCGCGGCATGAATATTCCAAACAACAAAACTAAACATTGATTGATGATTGAAATTAACAGTAAAGAAATTTTGAAGACATTATAAGTCAAGTTAGCAAATAACTTAAACAAGTAACCATTGATCAATAACTGAAATGAATATTCAATCTTCAAATATGTCAATTGTTTCTTGGGAAAAATAAAGATGTTGATGATGTATAAGTGATTTGTTTTTATTATATAATCTATGCACATGGTTTCAAACCTAGGGAATAGAAACTGTTGATTTTATTTATTACAAACTTCAAAGTACTAATTGATAATGATAGCTATATTGAATATGAGGAAATATAAAGAAACTATGAGTAAAATTAATAATTGATAGAAGTAAACTTTCATCAACAACTGATATTAATATTGAATATTCAAATGAGTATAAGTGATCTTTTTAAATGAAATATTAGATGCACTCTGTTTCATTTTGATGGAAGGTTAAAATGTTCATATTCAACTACTATTCAATTGCCCATGAAAATAGAAATTTATACGCCAAATCAATGATTGCTGGTTTTGGAAAGAATTGACTTTTATAGGAAACACTAGGTTATCGCAATTTAATGCAGAATGAAATCATCATGAATACTCAATAATAAATAACCTTACCTTATCTTCTGGAACCCAATAAGCAACAATATTATCAGTTGGTGACCAGTTGAAGTCTCTGATGCCATTGATCTTGATTGACTTCTTTTCGAGCAATCCGAAGGATGGCGTCTCGTACACTTGTAGAGCATCATTATTTTGCCCGATACGTGCAAAGTATTTGTCATCATGTGACCAACGGAAAATCGGCCATGCTGTAGGGCCTTCGGGGTTGAAAGAACGCTTTTCCAAACCAGTCCTGAAAGGGGAGGGCATAATAGACTTGGCAACAATTTCAAGCAGTCCTACACTTATGCTGTCAACAGCCATAAGAGCACGGTGAATTTATTCAGATTCTTAAACTGCCAAGTCGTGCTGAAGAGACTTGGCAATAATGTCAAGCAGTCCTACACTTATGCTGATAACAACCATAAGAGCACGGTGACATAATGCAGATTCAGAAAAGAGAGTGGGTCGTGATGCAACAGCCATTTTAAACTCCAAGTCGTGATGAAGAGTCTTGGCAACAATGTCAAGCAGTCCTACATTTATGCTGTTAACAGCCATAAGAGAACGGTGAAATTATTCAGATTCAGAATAGAGAGGGGATCGTGATGCAACAGTCTTCTTCAACTGCCAAGTCGTGCTGAAGAGAATTGGCAACATTGTCAAGCAGTCATAAACTTATGCTGTTATCAGCCATAAGAGCACGGTGACATAATGCAGATTCAGAAAAGAGAGTGGATCGTGATGCAACAGCCATTTTAAACTCCAAGTCGTGCTGAAGAGTCTTGGCAACAATGTCAAGCAGTCCTAGATTTATGCTGTTAACAGCCATAAGAGAACGGTGAAATTATTCAGATTCAGAATAGAGAGGGGATCGTGATGCAACAGTCTTCTTCAACTGCCAAGTCGTGCTGAAGAGAATTGGCAACACTGTCAAGCAGTCATAAACTTATGCTGTTATCAGCCATAAGAGCACGGTGACATAATGCAGATTCAGAAAAGAGAGTGGATCGTGATGCAACAGCCATTTTAAACTCCAAGTCGTGCTGAAGAGTCTTGGCAACAATTTCAAGCAGTCCTACACTTATGCTGTTAACAGCCATAAGAGCACGGTGAAATTATTCAGATTCAGAATAGAGAGGGGATCGTGATGCAACAGTCTTCTTCAACTGCCAAGTCGTGCTGAAGAGTCTTGGCAACAATGTCAAGCAGTCCTACATTTATGCTGTTAACAGCCATAAGGGAACGGTGAAATTATTCAGATTCAGAATAGAGAGGGGATCGTGATGCAACAGTCTTCTTCAACTGCCAAGTCGTGCTGAAGAGAATTGGCAACATTGTCAAGCAGTCCTACACTTATGCTGTTAACAGCCATAAGAGCACGGTGAAATTATTCAGTTTCAGAAAAGAGGTGAGACCGTGATGCAACAGTCTTCTTAAACCACCAAGTCGTGCTGAAGAGTCATGGCAACATTGTCAAGCAGTCCAACACTTATGCTGATAACAACCATAAGAGCACGGTTAAATTATTCAGATTCAGTTTCTCAAACTGCCAAGTCGTGCCGAATAGACTTGGCAACGATGCCTTTTTGATTTATTTCAATACGATGTTCATTGCAGAAAAACCGTTCTCTCATGCATGATGTTATGGAGTTAGTTAAACTTTAGTTCTTTTTCAGTTCTACTGAGGATGGCAACTTGTTTGCCGAACAACAGCTTTTCTAAATATTATGGTGGCACTTTGGGTATAATTTTATATCGGATTGTACAGGGTGTTTCAAAAAAATGTGACCCGCTTGCTAGGGTAGGTAGAACATTCCAAAATAAGTTGGGGTTGGATTGTGAAAAACTGTCTAGACGGAATGCATTTCCAAGATACAAGATGTTGAAAAAAATATTTTTTACACAACTACAGGCAACATTGTGGTGACGTTTTGTATGGATATGTTCTGGAAGCTGACATATCACATGAATTTGTTTTCATATCTGACTCTCATAGAGGGCGCTAGGTACACGACATATTTTCATGAAAAAAACTCAACCTATTTTGCAGTGTTCTACCTACCCTAACAAGGGGGGTCACCTTTTTTTGAAACACCATAACCACAGTCCCCAAAAAGTCACTTCCGCTTCATCTTCAATGGAGAAGTTTTCTTCATATGAATTTTCATAAAATAAGTTCGGAATTCTCCAGTTTTATATGCACGCCGTATTCATTTCAGATTAAACCAATTTCTAATTTTCGGGGCGGAAATCTGTGACGCACATTCTGAAACTAGTCTGAAAATAGCTTATGGTGAAGAATATAGCTAGCGAATAGTTAGCGAATAGTTAACGAATAGCTAACGAATGAAAAAAATAGAAGAAGTGAAACTGGTAAACAAACACATATACATAACCACAAATGTTAAAGTTGGCTTCATTCTGACAGGTTATGGTTTTGTATTTATGCATTGAAATATCTCGAATAGAGCTCGATCCTTAACGAAAATATCATTGAATCAATGAATCACTATCAGCTACATTCAATGATACTATCCTTCCTAACTTCCCGCCATCGCCCAGAACAGAATGAAGCCGACACCCATGGCTCCTTCCTCTTGTTGTGCCTGTCAGTATTTTGAGTGGTATTAGGCGCTGTTGCAAGATATAATCTGCAACTCTCCTAGGAAATAGATCCATTTTATTAAGGAACGAATTCATTAGCAAAAAAATGACTGACAAGTTATGAATAACATATTGTATTATTATAATTTATCTTCATTAGTAATCAACTTCATTCAGCCAATGAGAGATTTATGGGAATAATTCACAATACTTGACAAAGTAGGATTGAATAACCTATAATATCCCATTGCTGTTATGATATAATTATTAAGCATTCAAAGAACAATTTCCGGAAATGTTCCTCTTTTATTTATTTTTTTCTGAAGTGAAATTTGATCTTCAATATAGGAAACTTCCCCATTGTGATTGGGTTGTATGCACTCACCTAATGTCCCAAATGATAATCCTCTTCTGATCAGGATTATGAGGATCACCCTGTGGAGAATAGGTGACCAAATATTTCTCGCATGGTGAATAGTCAATGAACTGCACTCCAGGATGAGCAAATTTCTTGTACTGGGCATAGTTATGTCCAGCCCACAAGGCAATACCCATCTTGTGGAAAGTAGACAAATAGGTACCTAAAGGAGACCATTTGATGTATGTCTGGGTCCATTGCTGTAAAACAATCAATTGAAGTACAATACCATAGAGAAACTGTGAGAACAACTTCAGGTTTGAAATTTGTTGTGGATATAATAATTAGTGTATTACATAACTTGTGTGGAAAGTGACATATTGAAATAGTAACGAGCGCAGAAAATGCACTTTTCAACAAGTTTTGTACACCATTGTTGTATTATCACCAACATAATAATAATAAAAATAATAATAATGAAGCGACTTCACTATACACTCTATATACTATGCAAAATTGGTATGTGGGGGTTTTTGGAGTCGGAGATGATGATTATTTCATCAAAACAGTTTGGAAATCCAAGATGGCAGATTTAATATGGCGGGCGTGTTTTGTAACTATGATCCGATTCCATTCCATTGTGTATCTGGGGGATTTTGGGATCGGAGATTATGATTCTTCATCAAAATTAGGAAATTAAAGATGGAGGATCCAATATGGCAACTGAGTTTTGTAATTATGATCCGATTCTATTTAAAATTTGTATCTGGGTGTTTTCGTGGTTGGAGAAGAATTAGAAAACAGAATAATAAAAGTATGTTGATAAATATCTAACTGAAAAAATATTCTCTAGAAATAATTGTATATAGCAAAACAACGTTTGCCGGGTATCAGCTATTGTGATAAATAATAATTTGAAAAACTAATGAAACACATTTTTATAGATAGCCAAACTAAAAAGAAGTGAGTAGAAAATAAAGATTAGTTTGAAAAAATGAAGAGGTATAGAGTACCGAACTAAAAAGAAGTAGAAAATAAATAGAGTAGTTTGAAAAACTAAAGAATCCCGCATTTATTGATTGACAAACTAAAAGGAAGTAGAAATAAAATAATGAAAGTTTTCTAATAAAAATTTATCTAAAAATATTTTTCCAGAAATAATGTTTATGGCAAAACAACGTTTGCCGGGTCAGCTAGTTAATAGTATAAAATACGAAAATCCAAAGATAACGATAAGACATGGAAAATCTACAATATCAGCCGTGCACTGTTTTTATAGTCGAATAACATCTCTGATTGACTCTGGCGAGTGCCCTGTTGGGATATTCTGTGATCTCAGCAGGGCATTCGACTGTGTTAATCATGACATCTTGATTAACAGATTGTCCAGTTATGGTATTAAAGACAATGCTCTTCTATGGGTCACTAGCTTTCTGAGTAACCGTAAACAATATGTATCCCTCAAGAGCAAACAAAAAGAGGAAGTAACCACCACAAACTCCTCTAGGGTGGACATTGATATAGGTGTTCCGCAAGGTTCCATTCTAGGGCCAGTTTTATTTTTGTTGTATGTAAATAGTATTAATGAACTATGTGAAAATATCCACATTACTATGTATGCAGACTATATCTCTGTCCTTGTTGTGGATAAATCTGATGAGACTCTGGAATTAAAATGCAACGAACTGATTCAGTCGTTGGCATCCTGGTCATTCGAAAATTCCCTTTTTTTCAATATTGAAAAGACTCAGTACATGAGGTTTCACAACAGGCAACGTGTTTGCCATAAACCTAATCTTGTCCTTAATGATATGCCCTTATCCAACACAGATACACATGTCAAATTCTTAGGAATGAATATTGATGAAAACTTAAATTGGAAAATTCATTGCACAACCCTGATTTCCACTCTTCATTCTCAGTGCTACCTACTGAGAAATTTGCGAACAGTTCTCACACATGATCAATTACAGATGGTGTATTATGCACAAGTGGAAAGTCGTCTGAGATACGGTATTTGTTTCTGGGGTTGGTCTGTGATGACAGATGATGTGTTTATAGCACAGAAGAAAATAATTAGGTGTATTGCTAATGTATCTAGCACCACCAGTTGTAGAAATTTATTTATCACTCGAAAAATATTGACACTTCCTTCTTTATATATATTTGAGCTATGTCTCTATATCTTTAGGAATAAATTAACATTCATTAAGAACTATGATGTTCATCAAATAAATACTCGTAATCGTGATAACTATCGTGTACCATTCAGCAAAAATGTTGTTGAATTCAACTCACCTGATAAAAATGGCCTACGAGCTTTCAACAACCTACCAAAAGAACTCAAAGAATGTCCTTCACTGCCTGGTTTTAAGAGGAAACTAAAGGAATTTTTAGTGGCAAAATGTTTTTATTCATCAAAAGAATATTTCACCACTAATTAGTGAAATAAGTGATTTTATTGTCAAATGTTCTGTTTTGTCCTTTATATATTTTGACTGTAATGTGATCTCCTGTTTTGTATATATGTATATATTTATATTTATTGACTATTCCGATTCAATTACCTGTCACATGGAAAATATATTATTATTATTATTATAACAACTCTGAGCAGCTTCCAAGAGCTAGCACACAAATGTGCAAAAGTGAATTTGTGACAATTATCATTACTCAGGTGAGCTGTAGGTTAATCGAGGAGGTGGTACATTCATTATTTCAGATTTTTTGAGATTTTCTCTCCTCGTTTCAATAAAATAAAAATATTTCAATATACGTGTAGTAAGGACAAATCATATGATTTGCCCCAAAATGTCACTGCGTTTAAAGAATTTTCATATCAGAGAGCCTAACTAGCTTGTCAGTGAGAATTTGTATTGAAAAAGGTTTGGAGAAGAGAAATTAAGGTATATAGAAAAAATATGAATTTTCACTTAGCTTTGGACGTTTCGGGAACGAATTTGCTATACAAATATCCATTTTTTATGTTGAAAATGGAATATACCGGGTGTCCCAGTATACCTGTTCCAATAGATTATCTCAGCCATTTTGAAAGATGAAAATTACATGATCTACTACAATTACAAAAATATCGTAACCTACTGCAATTCGTTCAATTTGAAATTTCAATTGTCGTTTTCTCTAATAAATCAAATTTGAAATACGAAGTGTGATACCTACATCGTCGGAATGGTAATTTTGAGTAGAAATCAAAAATTGCAAAAAATATACATTGTGCTATTTCGGTCAAACCGAACCAATATGTGTTTTAGTGAAAAAATTGATAATTTTTCTTTTATCAGCTGTCATAAGGTGCTGAACTCAAAAAACTAACATTTTCGATTAAAAGTTAATTTCAAGGAATAGAACAGGTCAGATGGGAGTTCTGAGTAGCGCTCGACAAGTTCTTTGGAATATTCTTATTGTGTTTTAGTGAAAAATCGATGTCATCTTAAAACAAAAATGAGAATATTTTGAAGAATTCGTCGAGCACTATTCACAACTCCCATCAGAACTGTGTGTTGAATTAATTTTTTATCGAATATGTCAAGTTTTTTAGGTCGGCACCATATTACAGCTGCTTAATGAAAAAGTATCGATTTCTATCTATAACACAATGAGAATGTTGTGAAGAACTCGTCAGAACTCCAATCAGAACTGTTCTGTTCTTCGAGATTAATTTTCTATCGAATATGTTAGTATTTTTGAGGTTGGCACCATATGACAGCTGATGCATGCAAAAGTGATTATCGATTTGTTTCTAAAACACAATAAGTATATTTAGAAGAACTCGTCGAGCGCTGCTCAGAATTTCCATCAGAACTATTATGTTCTTTGGAATTGATTATTATTCGGATTTTTGATTTTTTAAAGGTCAGCACTTGATTTTATCATTCTTTCTGGAAAGCTTTTTCTTCAATACGATCGATAAATCGAAACTAGCTAAACATATCCTTACTGAAGATGGACAACATATGGCAGAGTGGAATAATATTAAAATCATTGGAAAAGAAGATAACCAGAAGAGTAAAAACAAGGTATCTGCTTGCATTCTTCTGAACGGAGACAGAACATGGTATTCACTACTAAAATCTGAACATGAAAATGGTAAATTCAAGATTAATTAATGAAAACATCCTGTAACTCATTTGATTGCAAACGTCACCAATTGTCATTGAAAACTGAAAAGCTTCAAAACATATTATATGACTTCGCTATTGAAATAATCTCTTCTCATGTTGAAAACGGGAGCAGAATCGGTCCCGAAACGTCCAAAGATAAGTGAAAATTTGATATTTTTTCTATATACCTTTATTTCTCTTCTCCAAAAATTTTTTCAATACAAATTGTCACTGACAAGCTAGTGAATTTTTCTTTTAGGCTCTCTGATAGGAAAATTCTTTAAACACAGTGACATTTTGGGGCAAATCATCTGATTTGTCCTTACTACACGTATATTGAAATAATATTCATATTTTTATTTTATAGAAACGAGGAGAGAAAATTCCAAAAAATTTGGAATAATGAATGTACCACCTCCTTGATTAACCTACAGACAGTATCACGGCTCAAGTTTCGTTTAGCTGAAATCAGTTATGAAAAAACTGTTGCTATGGCAACGATCGTCATAGTAACGAGTAAACAAAAACCCGATTCCCGAGGTGAGGAAATGCGTGGATGCCAAGTTGTATCGGGTTTAGTATAGCTGAAATCAGTTGTGGAAAAACTGTTGCCATGGCAACGATCTTCATGATAACGAGTAAACAAAAACCCAATTCCCGTGGTGAGGAAATGCGTGGTTGCCAAATTGTATCGGGTTTAGTATAGCTGAAATCGGTTATGGAAAAACTGTTGCAATGGCAACGATTGTCATGGTAAGGAGTAAACAAAAACCCGATTCCCGTGGTGAGGAAATGCGTGGTTGCCAAGTTGTATAGGGGTTAGTTTGGCTGAAATCAGTTATGGAAAAACTATTGCCATGAAAACGATGCCAAGTTGTATCGTAAAATTATTGCTTCATTCATTAATTTCAAAAACACTTTTCAATGTAACCATCCTTCGCGTGCCGAACTATTTGACAAAATCAAAAAGGAACAGTCATTTTGGAATATTCATAACGAGGTATCGCGCAGGATAAAGGAAGAGAGACTACAGGTACTGATTTTCTAATACAGATGGAAACATCTCGTTAGGCCCACCCACATTTCCATTTTCCTTTATTTCGATTCACCCATACCTTTCTTCACGCGCACATTTTTATTCAGCGACAGTCATCAAACATACACGAACGATGTCTTGCAACCAAATCTGAAGGATCTTGGAAAGTATATGTTTTTCAAGAAGAAGGTTGATTTAAGTCGAGTTAGGTTAGATTGTTTGGAAAAAGTAGTGTCATTTTTCATGCAGTCTTCAAACACACACGAACAATGCCTTGCTACCAAATCTGATCGATGTTGAAAAATATATTTTTTCTTAGAAGGTTCATTTGAGCCGAGTTAGGTTAGATTGTTTAGAAAAAGTAGCATCCTTCCTTATGCGCTATTTATTCCGCGATATTTTGTCGCTCGCTATTTTGTCTAGCTCTGTTCAATAACAAAGCCTATTTTTCCTGACGTTATTTCCATATATGATCGTCATAGAAGTAGTAATTTGGGAATTAATCAACGACGAACAGTCTTCAAGAAATTGATAAGAAGGGTATTCATTCGAATCAAGTTATTTGTTGAGCAAGAACTTTTGTGAAACAAAATTTGAGGGTCGAAGATTGCGCTGATTTCAGCTATACTGAACCCGATACAACTTGGCAACCACGCATTTCCTCACCACTAGAATCGGATTTTTGTTTACTCGTTACCATGACGATCGTTGCCATGGCAATAGTTTTTCCATAACTGATTTCAGCCAAACTAAACCCGATACAACTTGGCAACCACGCATTTCCTCACTATGGGAATCGGGTTTTTGTTTACTCCTTACCATGACGATCGTTGCCATGGCAACAGTTTTTCCACAACTGATTTCAGCTATACTAAACCCGATACAACTTGGCAACCATGCATTTCCTCACCACGGGGTTTTGTTTTCTGTTTACCTGTTACCATGACAACGGTTGCCATAGCAACAAATTTTCCATAACTGATTTCAGCTAAACGAAACTTGAACCAGTATCACTAAAATATCTTCAACTTCCTATTATTTCAGAATTTTTCGATCAATTTGAAGGTGTTAAAATCATCAACTATGCCATGGTAATTTTCACACGGCTAGAAATTTAACTTCACGATTTCCTAAGTAGGGAATAATGCATACATTTTCAAATATGTATTGCTAATATTCCTAATTAGCAATTAAAAAAATCAATTGTCTCAAAATGTTTCCCACATGTTTTCTGACTCATTGCTTATAACAAATTTGTGTAAATATTAATTATATTAATTCACACTAGAGGACATTTGAACCTGTAAATGTGACAACACGGCACACAAATGTGGAAATGGTCTTGTTAGTTCTCAGCATTCAGCACAATGTTGCCAAGTCTACAACCTTTACATGATATTTTGTTATGGAGTATAAGAAATATTTGGACATGCTGGGCGCTAGAAAAAGTCAAGTATGAACTATAATATAATATACAGGGTGTCCGGAAATCATGCGCAAAAATTCAAGGAGGTGATACTACATGATGAAATAAGAAATTCTTTTTAAATGTACGTGGGCCGGAAATGCATAGTTTTCAACATACAGTGTATCGAAACTTTCAAAGAAGATCGGTTTTTTATGAATATCTCAAATGTCCTTCCTTTCACCCCTGTTTGTGAAGCAAGGAAACACAGCAGAATTGCAAAGCAATTCCAGAGACTGAAATATTGTATTTTTAGTTCAATCATCAGGATATGGAGATAGAGAAAAAAAAACAGTGGCGCACATTTTATTGACAAAAATATTCGGTAGGGTGCCCTTGAAATAGTGGTTTTTTTATTTTCATTTTCCACTAATTAAATCACCTAATTTAGAGAGATCTTGGTAGCATCAAATCTGAACGTTGAATTTTCGCTCGCCCTGAGCATCTCGCTGATATTGGCCATGGATAGGACCCCGTCCTGGGACATAGCCTGCCCATCATATCTATCATGTGTGTTGTGTAAAAACCGACCCCCCTGGACCATTCGTGGCCGACCTCTGGGCACTGGGAGGTCTCCCCAGAGGGTTTTAACGTGTATTGTTACCGTAATGTTTCATATGTTGCTGTTTTATTTACATGTTATATTAGGTTTTATATATACCCACATAAATGTTATTCATGTTCAAGTTGAGAAATAAAAGTTTTGAATCGGTAGGGTGCCCCCGGGACGCCACTGGATTTCACAACTCTAATTTAAAAATGGCTAAATCAGCCCCTCATGACAAAGAATATCATAACCAAATTTCAAGAGAATTGGTGTAAGAATATTTGAGATATTCATAAAAAAACGATTTTTTCTAAAAAGTTTAACACACTGTATCTTGAAAACTATGCATTTTTGGACTCAAGTATATATGAAATAAATTTCATGTTATCTCATGCAGAATTACCCCCTTGATTTTTTGCGAATGATTTCCGGACACCCTGTATATTCAACATATCAAAAACATGGCCAAATGGTGGCAATGACAATACATTTGAAATGAGCTATGAAATTCCACAATTTTGAACTAACTATAGACTCATTATCTACATAAAAAACTACATTTGAAATGAGCTATGAAATTCTACAATTTTGAACTAACTGACTCATTATCTACATAAAAAAGTGTGAGGAGTGTTGCAAAAATTAATTTAGGTCCCTAAAAATTAAAAACACAGTGGGGTAATTGCATGTGAATAATTCATTATCAGTTCACTTGCCCAAATCTCCCCAGCTATATAATTTTTCATGTTTTGCGGGTTTCCTGAAAACTATTACTCTGAGCAGGGACCTGATTCTCGAATATATCCCTATAGAAATTTTATTCCAAATATATGAGAATTGAGCCCCAGGACACATCATATAACCAGATCATTCATTTTAATGAAATACAGTGTATAATCATATTCATGTAACAGTATAATATTTGATAAGATGTATAACAAATTGATAATTATCATACAGGGAGTGGACAAAATGAATTGAGAAAACCCAATGATGAATCTGTGATTAGAAGTTTGTAAAAATAAGGAATTTCTATAGTATGTACCAAGTTTGAACCCCTTGATTGGGTATGAAAGTATTGAAGAGAAATATTCTCAGATATATTATCAACATGACAAAAATGGATACATATTCAACAGAAAAAAACTAATTTCCTGGCTATATGCCATGACTAACATTGAATTACATCTGCTGAACAAACTAGATAAGAATTTGAAAATAAAATCTTCTGTAAGTTGAGAATTTGCTTTCTTCTTCAGATAAAAATATATATGCACCTATCATTCTGGATATTCAACAGAAAACAACTACTTTCCTGGCTATTTGCCATGTGGAACATTAAATTATATCTGTTGAATATCTAAGAGGAGAACATGAAAATAAAAATACTCTGAAATTTATTCAATAGATGTTCTTCATGACATATTATAGCCAGGAAATAGTTGTTTCCTGTTAAATAAACAAAGAGAGAATTAATATTTTTATCAGATAGAGAATGTGAATTCTCCATGTACTTCTTTATATGTATCCATTTCTTCCATGTTCATAATAATAATATATCTGAGAATATTGTCAAGAATGGATAAAAACTATAATTTTATTGAGAATATTTGAAATTCTCATTTCATTCAAGAACAGTACAATAACCTAGTCTAGATCATATTCTTAGAATTATTTAGCTTACAGGATATCAGTAGAGAATTATGATATTCAAAGGAAATTATAGTTCGGATTTCAATTTTATTATTATTCAAGTAAAGTCGCTGACGGGCAGAAACTGCTGGTTTTGGATTTTTCCTAATCGAGGTGAATACACTAGTTTTTATGCTGAATCAATTACCACTACCAAAACCAAGATGAAAAAGTATTAGAGAAAAAAACCGGCAGTTGTGGCTCGGACAGTGGACCGTAAAGTCTTTTCAAATATTTTAATAGAAAGTAAATCTCAAACTTTTCATCATGTCTAAACTTCGTGAGTGGCAGTTCCAATCCTCCAATGAAAAGCGAGCCCTTCTGTAAGTACCTTTTTTGAGTATTACTAGTTTTAGTTTCCCTGTTTTGTTTCGATTTGAGTTGGATGTATCTTGCTGGATAAATGGTCAATTTATTTCATGCCCTAATTGTTTTTATTCAAAATGAATAAACTTGTGAAGTGGAGTTAAATTATTTAGTTATCATTTTCAAAAAAACCTCTTGCAAGCCAGTAAGTTCTAGTTGCGATAGTGGGCGGTAGAGCCACTCATGACAATATTTCTTTTCAGTATAATCTTGTTTCATATGGAGTTGTGTTTTTGTGACATGTTTGTTAACTAAACAATAACTACAGGCTTGCAAGTTTTACTTGGCTTTTGAAATAAAGGCACCATAATAATCACTAATGAAGAAAGATATTCTGTCATATTCTATTGAGTATACTCATTTAGTAGCTGGAAGTTGTTGTGAACCAAAATGTAATCCCAATGAAGCAGAAGACAACTCAGCTCATTTCTAATTCTTATAAAATAACAACTTACAAACCCTCAAAATTCAATTTATTATATATAGATTCTAAACTAATGCCTAGTAATTTGATGCTATCTAGCGAATATTTGAAGATAATCAAATTGTCATAATTTAGTAAGACCAATAGGGACTATGAGTCTTACAAGGATTTAATATTAGGTAGATTCATACAAATATTTTTTCTAAATACCATATCATTCCTATCTGGAATGAAATTGTAACAATCACATTAGAAACAGAGATGATTCAAATGCATCATTTAGTAAAATTGAAAAATTGAATAATTCATCATCATGGAACAAATGGCTATGAAGTATGTTCAAAGTAAGAGTTGCTAAATCTACTCTATTCAACAACATGAGGTTTGTCACTAGGCTTTCCAGCTGTAAATTGATGTATCACTCTAAAGTACATAGCTTTATTTGTATAGATGAATAGTTTGAAAATGTTACTTACACTACGTTGCTCAACAAGGGTAGGATCTGGTTGAGTATTTTGCCAAATCTGCACAGATGAGCCCTGGGCAGTTACAACAGCAAACTGGTCATATGCATCAGGCTCCAACATAAAATAATGCAAATCAGCTTGTCCTTCATATGGCTGGGGCTCTGGAGGCTCCCATTTGTTAGGAATTTGCTCATACTTAGAGAAATCAGTAAACAGGTTCACTTGGAAAGTGTGCTGTTTATCTAGTTTGAAGTTGTTGGTAAGTTTTACTGCTTCTGCAGCATGGACAGGTGATGAATACTCAATGAATATGTAGCCTTTAGTATGTCCTTCTGCATTTACTGGATAATATTCATTCACAATGTTTCCAAACTTGACAAATATCTTATTTATGACAGATTTAAGTTTTTCAATACGGCTGGGACCTACTTGTGGAACACCATCGACCACTATTACGCTTTCAACTCCATCAGTCTCCTTAGGTTTCAGTTTCAAAATATCACCTACAAGCTCTGAAACATCATACCATCATAACCTCCATATTTTACACAAATGTTGTAGAAGTAAAAATACATGTATTTTAATAACTCTAGTACAAGAATTGTATCCTATAAAGTCAAATGATGATACAAAAAATATCCTTCAAGTTTAGTAGTACTGGATAATAATTTACAAAATTCAAAAGTTGGCAGTCACATTTTTTGGCAAGCTGTTTTGACAAGAAATACCTTCATCAGATATATCATCGACGAATCCCTCTGGATCACTGAAGTTTGGTTCTTCATCATTGGACGATAAATCACTCTCATTTTTGGTATTGTCATCATCTTGATTATTTTTTTCGTCCGATTTCTTTTTCGCCATTTTTACACGTTTGGAAGATCGGCTTCAAAATGAAGAAAAGAACATGTCATGTCAGTGTCACTACTGTCACTACTCTCCTATCGTGTCTTGTGTCACTGTCACTATCACTCTACTGCCACTCAAGGTCTATTAACTTCTATAAGGTTACCTCATAGTATAGCATTGTGGTGCGGGGGTGCGCGGAGGGGCGTGACGTCAGTGTTTCCCCACCACGTGATTGTTGATTTCGTTTGTGTCACTGTCAAATGAATTGGAAAAAAATTTGAATTTGAATTCGAAAGAATCGCGAATTTTAGACTTTAGTTGAAAACAGGGTGACAAGAAGACTGAAGATATCTTTGAAAGAGTGTGAGAGGTTGTATAATAATATGGTGTAGTATTATTCAAGGCTGGTCACATCATAAATATCATAATATTGTGTGGAGTCAAGAGTGGATATAGAACAAACAAATATTATGAAATGCCTGTTTGGCAGCCTTCACATGAGATTCAGATAATTCCAAAGGAAAATGATGAGCTGACTGTCCCTGTGAAGCAGGCATGTCATGGTTTTGTATACACATTTTATAGGGACTTATATTGACAGGTAGGAAGGTGCACTTTTGATCTATCACACACACAGGTAAAAAATACATGAAATTTCAGGAATGAAGACTTGGAATATGTGAAGCTGCATATATAACAAACAGAAGTGGTGAAAATTGAAAAAAGAGAGTAAGTAGATCAATCAATGATCTATTATACAGCCAAACCATTTCAATAGAAGGAAAGTGACCCCCTAAAATCATTCTTCCTTTATATAATTGAAGTTAATTTTACAGGGTATATCAGTCTATTTTGTTTGGAAGCCAATGAACTCAATGTGAACAACTAGCTATTGCATGGTACTCAGGAACACTGGTGAGTTTATTAAATTTTACTTATACTTGCTACTTCATTTTTACATGTAGCAAGGAGTCTTGGGAAAAAAGGCGATCAACTTCTTCTTTCCAAAGGATTTTTCAAATAAATTTGTTCAGCATGGAGTTGAATATGAATCCAAAGCTCTTTCAAAATGTTCATTGAAAATGATATTGAATTTCAAATCATGCAAACTAATTTGTGTCCCAATATTTTCCATGGTTAGGATTTTCTCAATATGAAATTTTTTTTTCAGGAAGGAAGACCATGGAAATAATTGAAATAAGTGTCCTTACTGAGGTCCTTACATAGAGGTTTGTTAAATAATGTGTATTACATTCAGCTTGAATTATTTTCTCAAAATTTTAGGTAAAGGTTCAGAACATTTTGTGGAACAATGCCATTTCTTGATAGGAGATGGTATAAAAAATGTGAAGTTGGAAGAGAGACACACTTATTATGGATAAATTCAGTTGGGAATAATGGCCCTGAAATGTCCCTAATGAACTTGAAAGAAACTAATTTTCTTGTATGATTCTTCTTCCTCCAAAACTTACATAAAGATTCCAGTTTTTTTGTGATACATTTTGTGTTAATGTTATGAGGAAGATATCTCAAAGATATTTCCATTATGTTGCACTTTTATTGCATTAATAAAATGGAATGAATTGTGATGACTTCTTTATTAATTCATTTTCTTATTATTGCATTTTCAAACAATAATATGTTCCAAATTGATACTGAAATAAAACCAGTGATTTACAATCATTAAATTTATCCAGAAGGAAATCCTCTTTAGTTAATTGTTTCTTGTTTCTCAGAAATGATGGCCTAATCAATTTCAAGATATTTCTTCACATCCCTTGTCAGCATGCCCTTATCCACCATGATTTCATCATTAGGTTCAGACTTCCCAATAACATTTTCTTTATTAAAAAATGCTTTATCAGTAGTTCAACCTCCATATCCTTATTAATGCCAACAGTAATCAGTCCTAATGGAGTGGTATTGCAATAAGAATTTGACTGAGTTTCTGTAATGTGTCTGTACAACAGGAGCACTGAGGAACATATCTTTCTAGATTTCTGTCTTCAGCTTCAGTCTTTTGTACTTGCTGCATGTTTTGGGAAAACAGTGAACAATCTCTTGGACACACAAACATATTGGAAAACTTCAAAATTTATCAATATTCACTTGATTGCACAATGCTAAATTTGTTTGTTTTGTTTTTCACCTCCGCCATTTTCATTTTGCCGTTCGACAAAAGACGATGGGGAAACAGTGACGTCAGGGCAGGTCAATATGAGGCAACCTTATAGAGTTGAATAGCCTTGACTGCCACTCACCGGCACCACATTTACCCACTGTCATTCATAGACACAGCGTTGCAGATGTATATTTATCATACAATGTGACGTGACAATCACCATGTCCGAGTCACATTCAAATCGTTTCGAGCGCGATTCACCGTGACTCATTAGATGTCATCGATGTCATCGATTACGTCATCCCTTGCGCTCGCTCACAGTACTGAGGGGTGTTTATCGTAGATATGAAGCGGTCTAATCGCTGCTGTCTGCTGTCAATAATGTCACTACTGTCATTTGGAACTCGAGAAAGTGAATATAAGAAAAAAGCAAACAAAAGTCCTGTTATATGTATTAAGTATTTTTATACAGAACAGAGAGACAACTCTTTTTACATAATTTTCGATACCTACGAGGTATTGAATCAATCAATTTCTTAATGTATGAATGTATGGAATTCAACAGAGGCGTTTTATTATACAACTACTGCACCAGCTTCCCCATCATCAACACTTGATGAAGAAATCTTATTTAGATAACTCTATCGTCATCACTTTGTCAATAATGAGAGGAATATTTACCAAATTTTCTCCATTTGCGCATGGACTATGATTTCTGTTGACAAAGAATTAAATAATCATATGTCAGGTTTTGTCGTAACGAATTCCATTAGCACGCTCAAAACTCGGTCCAAATCATTGTTGTTCCGAAACATAAGCAAGAGTGAGTCAACAGGTCATAAATACGCAGGATTGCGATTTCAAGATCTTTTATCATACGGCGAATAATTTCCGGATCCTCTAATATTTTGGACTTTTTCGGATATTTCGATGACTGTGGCAATATGGAAATTCATTGATAATTCCCTGGGAACTTTTCGATTTTTCTGGATTTGGCAATTTGTAACGATTATTTCGTTCCATTGAGATGTTTTTCAATCAATCAACCATTTAATTATCTGACGTCCATTCGTTCTTCTATCTACTTCCGCGTATCAGCCCTTCACCGGTTCACTAACCATATCGAATTTATCAAGTCTTGCGCGCTCGTCCTTCCCGCTAGACAGCGTCACAGAAGATCGAAGAGGGGAGACTGAATAACCAATCAGGAGAAGGGATTGATAGGACAGGATCTTTCGCGAAGAACGAATAGGAAAATCAAAGTCCTTCTGATTTAAACTACCGACTTGAAAGGTTGAAGTGATAGGTTGTGTGAATTGAAGATATCTGGTAGGTCTGGATCTATCTTTATTTTTCGAGTGAAATAACTTGTCATCGCAGACATTTGGTTTGTTAGATTTGATTATTACCTATGGAATTGAATATTAATTGATATATTTTTGATCGAATTTCATTTTTGTGAGAAATAATTGCATTCGAGTTAATTGAGGTTATAATTCATATCGGATTGTTTCTTATGTAGAAACTGGTCATCGATATCAACTTATTGGATATTTGAGTTCTCTCTATATTTTATTAGCACTTTTTGATGATATTTTCGTAAAATTGACAAATTTTATAAGTCATATACATTTATTTCAGCTCAATAAGGTTAAGTACTATACCTGGATTTCTCTGCCTTGTCGCTTAAATTTGCTTTTCATAAATTGTTGCTATCAATATCAGCTTGTTGCTAATTTTTTCTTCATTCAATAAGTTGAAAACAGTATCTACTCTTTCAAAAATTTTTCTAGGTACCTATTCGAAACGCCATCGCACTTTCTTCAGAAGTTCATCCAGGAAACCTGAACTGAAATTTCCTCTGTGTCTCGTCCAGGAACCTTGAGCCTGCAGGACCTAGAGCCTTGAGGTTGAACCTTGACGTCCAGGCTGTACCTTTCCAGGATTCTTTCTCAGGTAAGCATTTAATTTCTATTATCAACTTGTGAATTTCTTTTCCAAGTTATTTTTCATTCTCTCTGAGAAATAAATGCAACCTGAGGAAGGTTTCCTTCTCTCTATAGCCTGTTCAGTCAAAATTTGTCTGGTTCCTGTATAGGTTTTGCCTTCTTGTGACGAAAGCACAATCTATAGTTCAAGTTTTCTGGAAGTGAGATTTTTCTCTCTATCTTACTGTCAGTATTTTCCTTGGTCAACTCAACAAACCACATGTCAATGCATGTCTATTTCCTTATCTCCAGATATACCATATCTTAATTCCAGACCTGTCAACTTCACACCTAAAGTACTTACCTATTTCTGGCATTTAACTTTTGAACCAGGACTTGCCACCCTGTATATATATCTTTATACATACCTTTTCCTTTTACTTTCACGGAAAAGTAGATTACCTGTTAACTTCAAACTTGAAAGAGTACCTATTATCAGGCATTTTACTTTTGAACAGGACTTGCCACCCTGTATATCGATATTACCATTTCTTTACTTCCACTAGAAGGTAGTTTTCTTGGCATTTTAGTTGAAGGATTTGCCACCTTCATTTAATATTCCATTTTCATATTTTTTTGATTGAAATTTCAGTATCGACAATTTATCAAAGTTGAATTTAGTTTCTTCATTAGACAAATGATAATTTTTCCTCGATTTTTTTTTTTTTGTAATAATATATCAAATACCAGGATATCTCATTATATATATTATTCAAATAATCTTTCTCTGAGTTAATGATTTGATTCTCAGTTATTTCTGGTTTCAATTTGAGTCAATTTTCTCTAGTTTTTTAAAAAAAAAGACTGAATTTTCAAGTGTCAAGTTTTTTTATTCTTTGAATTGAATATATACATATCTTCCTAATTTTTCTGAGTTTCTAAAATTTCACATTTCAATTTGTTACTTTCCAAA